GGAAGGAAGGAAGGAAGGAAGGAAGGAAGGAAGGAAGGAAGGAAGAAGTGGGGACAGAGGTGGAGTAAGGAACCTTTGGTAAAATTCCTGTTATTAAGTCAGTGTGATATAGTTCCATTACTTGAGTTAAAATCAAAGAACTTTCTCCACTTGACAAACCTGATGAAGGTGTTTCAGCTGATCATCAAATACAAAGTTACATTTACCTGTATTCACCAAAAGTCTCATCTTTTGCTGACTGAACTTCTGGATCTGGGTGTAAATCTTCCTTCTCTTTTACTGAAACAGAAAATTGAAAGTAGTTTAATATCAAATCTATTGTAAAGATCTGTCAGCTTGGCTGCTGAAAGGCGGGTTATAAAAACACATTGCCCAAATTTTCTATGCCTGTGTTACAAGATTTCTAAGCAACAGGTATAACGTGTCAGTTACTTTTTATTTAATCCAAAAACAGAAAGGATTTCCTGGGTTCTATTTTTCTTCTATTCAGCACCTGGCAGACTTTCATATCATTCCCCCATATCAAATGGGAGCTTTTCCTATGGAGAGAATCAAGCTTAGATCATTGTGTCCATGAACATAAAATTCATTTTTTTTCTCCAAACTATTAGAAGATGTAACAGGCTCTTAATGACCTATGTCATGAAACCAGTTTAATGCCCCCTCAAAAAATTCAATCATTAGGGTGTTCTGCATCAATATTTTAATCAAAACTACCTTAATAACAAAAATAATCAGGGCTACCAAAGCATTCTAAATATATATTTATATGAGAGACTGCAGGGATGATTTAGCTTATATAATGTGTCTGTCAAACAGGTTTGAGGACCTGTTTTATTCAAGTACCCACATAAAAAAAACAGACTTGATGGCAACCATCTTTAGTTGCGTCTATGGGGAGGTGGGTATAGGAAGATTTCTGAGGCTTGCTGGCTAAATCAGTCTAGCTAAATTTGTAAGTTTCAGGTTAGTGAGAAATCCTGTCTTAAAAAAATAAGGTAGAGATGATTGAGTAAGATAATGGATGTCAACCTCTGGATTCCACATGTATAACCACACTGGAAAATGTGCACATTCCTCCATACCAAATGTTAGTTTCATTTGAAACACTGAGACATGAGATCGGTTCTTGATTCTCTTACCTTTAAAACTCAAACAAGTTTCCTTTAAGATGCTATTCACCCCTGTATACCCTTAGCTGTCCTCCAATACGAAAGGTTGTTGCTATTGTTTCCAAAGGGCCTGAATTGAGGGAGGGCTTCAGAACACATATAGGTTCATATTTCATAAGAATTACTTAAAAAAAGATAATTAAAAAGTTGTCTCTCTTCAAAATGTCTAATGAATTACCAGGAATAGCCATTGTGAACATAGTCATTGTGAACATAATTAATACAAGCTAGATTTCTGAGAAAAATTGAAATAGACAGCTGTGCCAATTACACATGTTATTTTAGGAAAATGTATGTCATGTTCTTCACGGTTTTATGTATATGACAGATTCTCAGTAAACATTTGCTTGATGAACCAGGAGTCAATAGAGAACAGTTTATAGATCTGAATACCGTAAGCCAAGAAATGCAGGAGTTTAATCTTTCTCCCTTTGTAAAAGCACAATGAACAGAAAACAAACATAGCAAAATGTATACTTATAAAAGCAAGTTGAATGTAATTTATATAAAAAATAAACAAGTTCACAACTAGAATGATTTTACTTTTATCCAATATATCATTAATATTTCAAGAAGTAGTGAGCTCAATAAAAGTGATCCAATACAGTAAGAGGAAATGCACCCTCTGCAAAGCAATGGTGATCTCGAACAAAGCTGGGTAGTGGAGCCAGTTCTACCAGAATCACACAGAACACCAGACCGGGTGTAGAGAAAGAAATAGAGGCATGCCATAAACAAATGAGCTCCGTTTTAGGGTATTAAAACATATGTGTGACATAATAATACACCTTTTCAGTGTCTGATATATCTGTGAACAGAGAACATAAGTTTATAAGAATTATAATCCTGAAGAACCTAATTTAATGTTTTTATTTTTAAGTTTCATTTCATCTTGGGAGCTGGGGTGTGGAAAGGGGTTGTCACAGAAGCTTTCTATGTCCCTCTTCCACAACCGTGAGCATGAAGCCATTGATATCACCGCAAAAAAAAAAAAAAAATAGTGATAAGGATCCTGAGGTGTAGCTCTCCACAGCTGATGGCTTCTGGCAGGGGTGTGGATGGGGAAGGTCCCCCTGGGCGTTCAACCATGCTTCAGTGAGTATATGGGCAACAAAAACTGAACTTCTTTTTTTTTGTTGAGGGGAAGCCTAAGGGTCGGGGAGCAGTCATGGGAGGACTAGGAAGTGACTGGGCTCTAAGAGTGCATGAGGTGAAATTCCCAAATAACCAATAAAAATATTATGTTAGAAAAGATTAATTTAATTTGATTTATGTGTATGTGTGTGTTTGTGTGAGTGCAGGTGCTTGAAGAGGCCAGAGGTATCAGACTCCCTGAAGCTGGAATTACAGGCTACTATGAACTGCTCAATATGGTTGCTGGGAACCAAACTCAAAACTTAAGTAAGTACTTTAAACCACTGAACTCTCACCCTAGCCCATACAGTCTCTATTAAATACTAAAGCAGCCAGGCATAGTGGCACAGACCTTTATCTTAGCAGTTAGAAGGCAGAGGCACACATGGATCTCTATGAGTTCAAAGGCACCCTAGTCTACCTAGTGAATTCCAGGCCAGTCAATCTTAAGAAAAGTGAAACATTCTCTCAACTACTAAAAGCTAGAATTATAGACTTTGCATATTTCCTTTGGTTGTTTAATCAAAACATTTCCCTTTAGTATATTTCAAAGCTAATACACTATAAACTTTACATAATTTTTATAAAATAGTTCCCATTGACCGATTCCCAGTATAAGCTCTTCAAAGTTGAAAATCATGTTAAGCCATAGTTTTACCTGAGTACTTTCCACCTTTGTTCCTCTTCACAAAGCAAATAGTTAATAGTATCAGTGTGAGAAGAGCAATTGCACACATCAGTCCAATAAACCAGCCTTGAGTGGAGATGTCATCATATAAGCCAGCATATTCTGTTTTATAGAGAGAAGGTACAATGTTGACCTACCTCTAGAATCAGTTCTTGATATTATGTAACATTGGGGCACAATCAGATATCATTTTAAAATAATACATAATCTTTCCTTTGATCCCAAAGGAAATAAAGTAATCTGAAGATATTTTGTTGGGAGACACTAGGAAATCATTCCTTCCTTCTTAGGGAAGAGGCTCTGCCAGATTGCATTTAGCTCTGAAGATGAGAATCAGAAAGGATAGTGAAGTTAAATGCAGAAGCAGCAGCGAGCAAGCCATAGCACAAGCTGCCTGGGTTACAAGCAGATCACCATGGCACCTGAGCTATGGTTTGTTTGTGATTTTCTTTAGTTTCTGTTATTGACAGATGTTAATTAGCATCATACACATTCAGGGGACTACTTTGGCAAACCCAGTAAGGAAAACATGGGATCATTGTGATGTAATTTCTTTGGGTAATTTTGAAATACTCTGTATGCCAATACAAACTGAAATTATGATCTTTGTATCTAGTGCACTCTATACTTTCTAATATAATATACATGTAAATTAATCCACAGGACATAGTGAACTGTCTAAGACTATAGCCCACACAGTCTCATTTCTCACCTCTCCCTCTTGTCTCAATTACATCTTGAAAAATGCTATCGTTATCACCCCAGTTCTTAGTCATGAGGTGAACAATATGTTCCGCTCCCGGCACAAGTACCTCTACAGGGTGACTCTTTTGGGTAAGATTTACTCCTTCTGATATCTTCCTGATACCTTTACCTAAGAAAGGTACACAGTTAAATCATATGATTTCAATCACTGGAAAGCAGGAGAGAAATGTAAAAAAATATATATCATTTTTCGAGATGAAAAAAATCATTTTGGTGTTTTTATCCTTAATGGTTCTTGAATCATCAGTGGACTCAGAAACTAACATTTAAAGAATTTTCTCCTAAAATGTTAAAAATGAATAAATGCAATGAAGTCAGTTCATGGCCATTTGCTGATGAAATGGTACTATAAATCTGCCTTCGTGGGAATGGCTCAAAACCAAACACAGACTCAAAAAAAAAATCCTTCAAATTTTATGGTATTTTCGTATTACTTGAATTTTCACAGCCAGTGAAAAGATGGATATATAGTATTTTCATATGATTACAAATAGAATTAAGATTTTAACTGTGTTTTCATTAAATGCATAAACACAGTGTTGCCATGATCTCAAAATTTTCTGGTAAGATGGCTTCACAACACATTCACAGAGAAAGTATTTTTTAAATTAGAGTCTTAAGCTAGATTAAGTGCAGGTTTATAGGTACATTTAAATGAAATGGTTTCAGTGAGATTTAGTACATGTATGAAAAAAATGAATAATTTTCCAAGAGAAATTTTCAATAACATGTCAATAAGTTAATCATTGAACCTCAGAGGAACAGATGAAAATGAGTCCAGTTTAATTAATATGCATGAATTTCTGATCTTGCAATTAAACATATAAATACTTTTGCCATTAAATTCATATTTTTCTAGGAATCAGCTCAACATAGAAAATGTCAATTGGCAAATGCCAACAGTTTACACATGAGATGAAATAAGATCCCTGGTGAGAATATAATGGAGGAAGGAGGACGAGACTATGTTAAGTTGTTAAGTGGGCATAGGACACAAAAGCACTTGGTTGTAACTTTTCATTACAGACTAAACTTGATTATATGACTACTGAATAAAGAATATAGGAGTTCGTTGAAAATGGTGCCATGACAGAAATAAAGCCAGTTATACAGAGGAGCAGAGCTGTTAGAATGGATTACTGTAATAGAATCGAATGAATTCTTACTTTAGAAATCAGAGATATTAGTATATCATTTAGTGTAAGCTTTTGGAAAACAGAAATGCAAAATGATTTACACAAACCTATAATGACACAAAAGCATATTCTAAGTTCATACTTTTTCCCTCTTTCATTAGAGAGCCACCCTCAAACTGGAGAGAGAGCAAGAAAACAGCTTGCTTTCAATACCAGAATCTTAACTTGTGTTCCCTCGTTGGATGGAGAAGAAATATCTGCAGTAATAGATTCTAATTTTAAGTGTTATCAGTTTAAGTGTTCTTGGGGAAGCTGAGATATATCTCCTCTGTAGAACTGTACAATGTTCAATGAAGTTCAGTGGAAACGCTACTATAATTTACTACATGGCAATATATGACTACAGAAGAGAAAGCAGTGTCAACAGGGGAAAGGGCAGTAGCTGGAATACTGAAAATGCAGGTGCCTGGAAAAGAACACAAACACCTTAGTATCGCACAGTTTTTAATAACCAATGCGGGATAAGGAAGCAATCTTCCTTTACACATTGAAACACATTAGCAAAGAAGGGACATCAGTTATGAAATCACCCAACAACAATTCCATTCTTCAAGAAAGTTTGTTAAGCATGAATGCCAAAAAGCCCAGCTTCCCAATATATGCAGAAGAATGTGGAGCATGACTAAGACAATCCTTTGGATTTTTTCATGCTCTGTATTGTCAAGAATGGGACTAATAATTCTCCTGATTTTTAAGTTGTCACTTCTATCAATACAGCAACTATCTCTGTGGTTTGATATCTTGTATGAAGAATATGGAAACTGAGTACTTAGATCACTAACTATTCTTTGGACTGCTGTGAATTAAACATTTGATGTCAGTTTGTAACCTTGAGATATAATCTTCTTTGGTGACTAGAGCGATTGTCATTATCTCGAAGTCTAGCATTTTTCTGAGATTAATGAGTTTGTCATTTCACCCAGAGTTTGATTTGTCCTGAACTCATGGGTTAGGCAGAGATGCTAATTGAAAACACTCTTTCCATAAAAGCAACTGAAGTGTAGAGAAGAAAACACAGGCCCAAAGATGGAAACAGTTACAGGAAGACCCCTGTAGTAAAGTTCAGAGTGCAACAATGCTTAGCAGGAATACAATAATGGTTGTGATACACACGCTTAAGTGAATCACAAGTGTGTCATAGTGAATGTTGCGCGATTTTGTTTTCTACCTTGCTGCTCTCCTATTCCCTGTATTTCTCCCATTGAGTGCTTAGTGTTCCTAATCTACAGTCCAGAAAACCACTCAGAATTGTGAATAAATGATTTTGTTTCCCTTTTTGTCTGCTTTCATCAGCTCTTTTCTCTCCCCTTGAGCCCTCCTATGCCTGACCATTCTGAACCCCATATGAGTCCGCCTTTCTGAACTTGCTGATATGAACATCAGTTCCTGAATACATTTTACTTTACTACGTAATCTTTTTCAATCTTGATGCACTAAAGATATTATACATAAATGGGCAAGAAAAATCCTAAAATCATCTTAGAGAAAAAAATTTAAGGGATACTGTTATAATTTAAGCGAGAGATAGAAATGTAATTTAACTATAACTGTGCTACATGTAAGATCAAAGACTGATAAGTCATTTGTAATTGTTACTTAGCTTGAACTACCAGACAGTAAAATCAAACTTGACATATAAATTAATATACTGAGTCAAGTGATAAAAGTGGTATATATTAGATTCTTTTCTATAAAATATCTACCAAAGTAAAAGACTATATTTAGAAAGAAATAATCTCCAGAGAAGAATATCCTTTTCCTAACCTTGTGAGAAATTTTATGAGCCTATGTTCACTTATTTTACTTAATTAGAAGTATGTTCCTGACCTTGTACACATTAATTCATAATTAGTTGTTGTTCAGAAAACCATAAATTGAACACATATGAACCTTATCAACAGGATCAGTAAATTCTGTATCTGTATTGGTGCATAGAGGGTCAGCTAAATTTGGGTACAGAGACTGGGTGCTTGCAATTTAGTGCAGTTGCATGAAAACACAGCATGCAAAAGCGTCATGTACTTACTCCCTTCTCCCAGAGTGGCACTTTCCTCACTTATTGGCTTCCCACAGCCTTTTGAGGTGCATGCCTTCAAGTAGAACTTGTATTTGGTTGTTGCATTGAGGTTTGAGAGACGCCAGCTAGATTTAGATGGAGTAGTAACATTGATTTCATTTAATTCTCCAATTTCGTAGGTATCATTTACTGAAGAATAAACATAAAAATTAGAGCTTCTAAGTTCTTCACAATTGAAGTTACAATGAATTTTCCTTTTGTTCCTATTTATTGAAAAAGATTCCATCATTATCCATTACTATCAACTCTTTCCAGGTACAGAGAATTATTATTATTACAGCAACTAATAGAAGACTACACTAGATGCTTGCAGAAAAAATTCATCAGCATTTTTACCGAGTTGTGAACCCTGCAAACTATAGTTCTGATCTATCAGGTGAGACTTACCCATTGGTGCAATAATGGTTATATAATGGGGTAATCAACTTTTTTCTTAGGTACCCTTCACAGACTACTCTGAAATAGTATCTTTTGAAAAGATGAACTCACTGGAACTACCAGCTCAAAGGCGTTCCCCTCAATATCTCAGCAGGCAACAGGGTCCCACTTTACCCTGAGGGGATATTGACAATCAGTGGTGACTGGGAGAAGGGGTGCCACTTAATTCAATGGAAAAATCACAGGTACACTTCCCTTTCTCCATAAATAACCTCCTGTTAATGCTCATGCAAGCAACTCTAATTAAATACAGTGAATCATACATGTAAAAGGACATGGGAGCAAGAAGGGAACATTTTGGGAAGTAGGAATTGAGTGGGAGAGGGAAGGGTATAAAAGGATAATAAGGAATGAGAGGGATTAAATTTCTTTATAAACATGTCTGAACTGGCAAGAGAATAAAAGCAAATTTAAAAAAAATAAAGTGTGCGGCTTGCTGAATGTGTATCATACTTGTGCCCTCACAAATCCAAACCTTGCAGTTAACTTATTGGAAGTGGAGAGCCCTCTCAGCTCATCATAGAAAGAATCAATGATCCACTGAACTGCCTGACTAGCAATCTATCAATAGGGAGTTCTACCCAGACAAATATATTCAGGCTATAAAATGAAATCATTCAACTTTCTTGGAAGAGTCAGTCTTATTATGGTGCTATGAATGTACTTTGAATCTCCATTACATTATTTACTAACTCTGCCCCCTGGCATGTTTCATCATTCTGAAAGCTACTCACAAATAGGTGGTAAATAAACTTTCCATAGTAACCACTGTTTTAGTTACAAAATAGAAGTCCGCAGACCTTTTGTAAATATAAAATATTAACACTACGAGAAAATGCAATCTCTGTTGCCCTAACTCATATTTGCCATTCTTGAGAGAAAACAGCTATAGGTAATATGTAAATTGGTGAACATAGCCATGTTCCAATAAAACAAAGTTTTCTTATTGAAACACACAGAGGTGGCAGCTTACTTTTATTTTATGGTTCCTTGCACTATAGGGAATACGGCTCACTGTGTAGCAACCCGATTCCTTAAACAAAAATTGTATCATCGGTAGATTAAATCTAATTTAATTCTTTCTGTACTTACTTATCTGGTATTGTAAAAGGTAACCAGTTAAATTTCCATTTAGTTTCTTAGGAAGTCCCCAGGATAAAGTGGCAGTGTCTCTGTCAACTTGGATGACCTTGAGAAAACTTGGCTGTTCAGGTACTAGAAAACACAAGATCATAAATGGGAGTTCATAAACTAATGAATTTCTACCAAAACTAACAACCCCCCCCCCTTGAGATAACACATTTATAGAAGTCAAGGTATTCACTCCTCTGAGCTGCACGTTAGCTATCAATAATGAAGCTAATGTTTAACAGAGGACTGGCTAACTTGCATAGGTGGCTCCTTTCATATTTATTCTCTTACCTCCTTCTGGGGTCTGAAATATATAGGGCTCGCTCTCTGGACCGACTCCTTTGGAATTGTAAGCTAAGACTGTTAAGTGATATTCACTAAAGGCATCTAGGGAAGGAACCATTCCCGAGTTTCGCTGTCCTGAGAATCTTAGGATGTTCACGTCTTTGGGATGTGTCCTTCCGTCCAACAGACTTTTGCTTTTCCACCAATTTATCTGCAAAGAAAGTGCAAACCCTTTGACGTAGCAGCCATAGGAAAAGACACTCAGTTGTCCTCTTCAAATCAGCTTAAAATCTCAGGAAAGAAACAAATTCAACAGTATCAATGAGGAAGTAAAAATGAACCGGAAAATTACTTAAAAATATCAACCTGACACCAACCTGGTATCCTCTCAGAAGCCCATGTACTGTTTCCTTTGGAATTGATGACCAGGTCACTTTAACCAATGTGCTATTCATAACATCAACACCATGGATCACAGGAGCTGTACTGGGGTCTGTAAACATCAAAACCAATTAGCATCCAAGAACTCACACACAATTTATAAAATCTACTTCCCAAAGTGATCTTTATAAAATTTAGCCCGGGAAATGCACTGATGTGCTATTGGTTTCAAACAGTACCAGCAGTTTCTTGGTACAGAGGACTTCCTGAGCCCACAGGAGTTACTTTATCCTATTGAGAAATGATGTCAGTAATGAGAGAAAATGCAAATGAAAATTTAAAGCTATGGCCATTGGCATGTTCTCTGGATAAGAAGAAAAATCAGCCCCAGTAACATGATGAAATTATTTAAGAATGAGTTTGACATTAAAAAAGCAGTTGTCTTGGTCAGATTCTGGGCTGTTCATTTTGTTAACTCAACACAGTCCAGGGTCATCAGTGAACAAGCAGCTTCAAACTGAGAAAATTTCTCCATTATATTGCCTTTAAGCAAGGCTGTGGGGCAATGTATCGATTTATTGGCTGATCTGAGAAGGCCTGGCAGGCTGTGGGTGCTATCTCCCCCATGCTTGTGGTCCTGAGTTACATAATTATTCAGACTGAGGAAATCAGACAGCATTCCTCCATGGCCTCTTCTATATTTCTTCCTGCCTCCAGGCTCTTGTCTTGAATTCTTTGACTTCCTTCAGTGATGGAGCATTGGCCTAAGAGTTAGAAGCCTAAATAAATCCTTTTCTACTCACGTTGATTTTGTACACGGTGTTTATCTCAGCAAAATAAAGATAACAATCAACATGAAATGAGTATGTACTATGCTTCAGATATTAGAAGCTCTACCTGGATCACCTCATATGCACTGTAGTATATTGTCATGAGACCAGCACTGTCATTCTGTTCTTGTGATCAACCTGGACTCTCTGATTGTGGCTGACAATGAGGGCTGACTGAGAAGCCATTGATAAAGGCACTGGGACTTGTTTTTATGGCATGTCCTGGCTTTTTGGGACCCTAGTCTATATGGATGCACAGCTCCCTAGACCTGGATGTGTGTGTGGGGGGGGGTGGCTTGGACGTCTCACAGGTCAGGGTTCCCTGCCCTCTCTCAAGCAGGGTGGGAGAGGGAGGAGAGGGTATGGGGGAGTAGGAGGGGATCGGGAGGAGGGAAGAAAGTGTAAATAATTGAATGGAAAGATAAAAACATTTAAAAAAGAAAAAGAAAGAAAGAACCGAGATTACTACAAAGGAGTCAGTAAGACAAATTGTTCATTAATGGTGTTCTTTGTGTCTTTTATTTGAGTCCAATAATCTGAAGACTGGTAGGATAAGAGATTATTTGTCATTTTTGACCTTTCCTTCTTGATTCAAAACATGATTCCAGATACGAAAAAAAAAAAAAGAGAATATTTTCTAGTGTGAAAAGTTGCCCAGTGCAGTCTTTTCTTTTCCCGGAAGTATAATTGTATATACGGCTATTATGCTATTAGTATTTAATAATTTAATTTTATGAAGGCTACTTTAGAATTATTCATATGGTTAAAATTTCATATTCACATCTGGGTGTGAATCTCAATGTGTTTGCCAGACTCTAGGCACGTAAAGGAGGCCCAGAGATTTGTAGCAAGCTGTTATGAAGAAGTCTTTGACAAGAAAGGGTTAATCTAAGGAAACTTTGGGAACCTCATGATCATTATGTTTCTTCACAGAGGCTTGTGATGGTTTCAGGTCTTTGATTTTCAAAATATAAAGAACTTTAACAGGTTCTTGAATAAAGCTGAAACTTTCAAAAAATTTTTTTGTTGTTATGGTTTGGTTTTTGTCTTTGTTTTCAAAATTTCATTATTCTTTTGATACTGTGTATCATATTGCTTAGACTGGCTTCCAGTGTGTCATGTAGCCAAGGATGACCTTGAACATGTGATCCTTCAGTCCTTACCTTCTAAGTCCTGGAATTAAAGGCATTTACCATCACATCTGAGTTTCATCATATCAGGGCTTCAAACTCAGAGCTTTGTGCATGCTGGGCCAGAACTCTAACTACAAGCTACATAGCTACATATTCCCAGACAAAGTTCTTCTTTAACACTACCTTGATCAACTAACTCTCCTCAAGATCAACCCTAACTTTGAGGCATCAGGTATTTATTTTTCTGTTTCACTGGCAGTATGCTGTAAAGATATATATTACATACATATATAAATATAGATGTAGATATAGATAGATAGATGATAGATAGATAGATAGATAGATAGATAGATAGATAGATAGATAGATAGA